GGAGGCCGGGCTTGAGACCGGGGCGGCGCTCAACGCGGTGATCGGACGCTTGGAGGGGATCTATGAGTGGGCAACTTTGTGGGTGGGTACTCTCCGACGTTCGGGACCCGGTTTGGGTTGAAAAGGAACATGGTTTTTCAAGACCCCCCCCCTGTCAGGTGCCATGCTAATTGGTGGGTGGGTGGATGGCTCAACTTGCGGCTTTTGTTTGGGCCGCTAGGAGGTTTCCAGGGCAGACGTCCAGTCATCAGAATTGCGGCAAAGCCGCCAGAGACCGGGGTCCAAACTCAGAGAGACCACGCTTTGAAGCGAGCTGCGCGTTCCGCTTGAGTCATTGGCATTGTCATAGAACAGTTAGCAGGCTATTGTGGGTTTGCGAAGGGCACGGGGGAAAACATAAAACCAGGGCCCACCTGATTTCCCATGTCTGGGGGGAGAGGGGGTGGGGGTGGGTGGACGCTACTCACATGCCGAGAATCGGAGCCCCGCCTCTACTTGGTGAAACCCTGCTCGGCCTCCGAATACGGGCAAGAGCGCCTGGACGAGTGGATGGCAGGCGGGGAGCGGTGAGGCTTGGGGAGGACTGAGCTCCTTTCACACGTGCTCTTGAACATGGTCGCATTACAATATTTTCATGGCAGATGGTGGTTCCAATTTCGGACCAATGGAAAAATACGAAACCCCCACAGACGACTCAAGCCAGCCAGCAACAGCCTTGCGCTGGCCTGGACACAGCAACTATGTCACGCATGAATTAAATATGATATTAGGCGAGACATTTTCTCCCTGAAAACACACTTCTTGGAGTTCCACAAAAGAGGATCCGTCAGTTCAGAGCAGCAACTCTTGGCAGACAAGCTCGGCCCTCTTGCTGATGTTTGCGGCAGCTGCTGCTTGAAGCTTTGCCCGTGCTAGGCTTGCGGGGCTTCAGGACACCCTCAGAAACGCCATTCACCTGGATCTTTGTATTCATAACCTGTGACCAACGCCAACTCATCCAGGTTGCATTGGATACAAGAACCCCCCCTCAGCAGGCTGACTTGCAACGATGGATGCCCCACCCTTGAATTCCGCAGGTGCTTGACATGTTCATGTCGGCGGTTTCTCGGCTCAGGCGAGGACCAGATGGTAACCAGCAGCAGAGACTTGGCATGGCCGTTGACCCCGCTTTAAAGTGGGTGTGGCTCAAAGTTAAACAGGAGGGGTTACGCAGGTTTTGGTCCATGGTTCCACTTATCAGGGTTCCATCTTGGTACCGGTGTTTTGAAAGAAAGCCAAGTCTTTCCCACCATTTAGCAGTGGTTGTTTCAAACATAGGTAGGACGAACACCTGCGGTCGAATTCCTGGGTGGATTTGGACCCATACCCATTTCAACATCCCGTGACAGTTTCATCCTGTTCGCTTCAACCAGGGCATCCGGCGACACGCAGTCATGCCAACCACACAATGAAGTTGGCCGGCGTCCTGTGTTTCCAATAGTTGCTTCGTTGGCTGATGGTCTGAGATCAGCTTGAGCTGGGAATGCAACCAGCCGTGCTGGAAGCAGCCGTTGCGCTGTCCCTGGATCTCCCTACTAGCCTATAGGATTTGCCTCGTTGAATGAACTTGAAACCATCCTGACAAGCGACCCCAAACAGTTGTCAAAATTGCTAGTAGCACATTTGAGGCAGGAATCCACGCAGGTAATATTTGTAGAATGAACAGAATCGCAGCAGATGCTCGCTTGCTTCTGTACAGAAATTCGAGTCTCTATGGACGGTATTGCGCACGCTCTTCAAACATAATCCTTCTCATTTCTCTGCGAGACATTCTACTCATGTTTTTGTAGAAAGTCCTGGACAAGATCTCTGCGCAAGATCTGCGTGCGAGACTCTTCAGAGGCCCAGGAAAAAGTCTCTGTTCAAGACCGGAAGGATTGGTAGAAGATCTGGGGATCAAATGATAGATCTCTTGGCAAGATTTGTGTGCAGAATCCATGGGAAGATGCTCTTTATACAAGTTCTCCGTCCAGGATCGGTAGAAATCATCCTGTGCAACATCTCTTGCAAGAAAAAACCCTTGCTGGCCCTACTTTCGATGTTTGTAATTTGCTCCGCGCCACATCGAGAGCGATCCGACCACTCAAAGTCCGCAGAGGAATTTGCGTCACGCCACAGCGACAGCGATTCACCACGCCCAAGTCTCCAGAGGGCTCGCCTTCGATGTTGAAAATTCGCGCCGATCCGACTCACCCAACGTCCGCAGAGGGTTCACTTTCGACGTTCGAAATGCAGAGGGTTGATTTCGATGTTAAACGTTCGCACCGCGCCACAGCGAGAGCGATCCAACCAACATGCGCAAAGTCCGCAGAGGGTGCACCAATCCACAGTTTCCAGAGTGCGCACGGCACCACAGCCAGAATGCCGTTCGGAAACGATCCTCTAGCAGACCTGTCGTGCAAGCCTGCGCAGGCGAAATTAACATTGGAAATTCTCGGGGGGGTCTTTTGCGCGAGCCTGCGCAGTCAAAATGAGCGAGGCGTGCGTTGGCGATTTCAACACCATGCCTTACTCTGCGTGTTAGAAGCCCGTAGTGTATTCGCGTCGCTTAAGGGACTTAGAGAAAACCGTTGCTTCCAAAATTGCGGATGCTGATGAGGCTATCAAACTATATCAAACTGTTTTTGAGGAATTTGTGTTCGCACATGTTTTGAAGACCCTTTCCAGGGACACTCATGTGCCAGTCGGCTTGTAACTGTGGGCCTTGGATTTGCGGCTTCGGTAAGCAACTTCTGAAGGGCATGAAGTCTGCGATTGTTTAAGTAGGCGATCCAAGGTTTTTGTGCAGCAAACGCCCAAGCAGACCCAAACACGTGGACCCGCCCAGGGATGCACTTGGACATGGAATCGGCGCCGGAGGTGGCCCGCCAGGCAGGTAGTCTTTTTTCGGCTTCGCCTTTGGCTCTTTGCTTAGCAAAACGGGCTGTTCAAATCTAATCCTTAGTCCTTAGTCCTTGAGTTACGCAAGGAACCGGTCCCCTTTGTAGTGGCTTCAAGTATAGGGATTATGGAGAATCGGATTGGCCAAGCCTCCATTTTGAACAGCCCAGCGCAAAATGGGTGTGGGTCAAAATTAAACCACCAGGGGGCCAGAGGTTTTGGTCCATGTTGCCGCTTACCAGGGTTCCATTTTGGGTTCCTATTTTTGACCCACAGCCAAATATCTCAATCCATCCCCGCAACAGCCGTCTGGCTTCGGGTTGCACCCCTCGGCCCGGCGGTTGGGTTGGCCAGGTGGCCAAAGACCTCCTTGAGGCGGCGCCAGGACGGGCCTTGGAGAGGTCCTTCATGGCTCGGCGAATTTGTTGGGATCGACAGACCCAGTGTGTTTTTCCTTGGTTTCAGACGCCCTACCCCCCCTACCTACCCCCCCTACCTACCCCCCCTACCTACCCCCCCTACCTACCCCCGCCTACCCCCCCTACCTACCCCCCCTACCTACCCCCCCTACCTACCTCCCCTACCTACCCCCCCTACCTACCCGCTACCTACCTACCCGCTACCTACCTCCCCTACCTACCCCCCCACCTACCCCCCCTATACCCCCCCTACCTACCCCCGTACCACCCCTACCTACCCCCCCTACCTACCCCCCCTACCTACCCCCTCTACCTACCCCTACCTACCCCCCTTACCTACCCCCCCTACCTACCCCCCTACCTACCCCCCCTACCGAACCCCCCCAACCCCCCCTACCCCCCATACCCCCCCTACCCCCCCTACCCCCCCTACCCCTTCTACCACCACTACCACCCCCCCTACCCCCCTACCTACCCCCCCTACCTAGCCCTACCTACCCCCCCTCTACCTACCCCCTACCCCCTACCTACCGCTACCCACCCCCCCTACCCCTACCTACCCACCCTACCTACCCCTACCCCACCTACCCCCCCTACCCCCCCCCCCCTACCTACCCCTACCTACCCCCCTACCTACCCCCTACTTACCCCGCCTACCTACCCCCCCACTACCTACCCCCTACCACCTACCTACCCTCCCGCCTACCTACCTACCCCCCCTACCTACCCCCCCCTACCTACCCCCCCTACCTACCCCACCTACCCCCCCTACCTACACCCCCTACCCACCCCTTTACCCCCCTACCCCCCAACCCCGCCTACCCCCCCTACCCCTACCACCCCTACCCCCCCCCCCTACCCCCCCTACCACCCCCCCTACCCCCCCTACCCCCCGTACCCCCCTACCCTTATCCTCCAAAAAGGTCACAGCCTGCAAAAGAACCTTGAGGCGAAAGCTGTGTTACACGTGTTTCCCCCTGGCTTTTTTGCAATTTGTCATCTCTGGCGCTTGCTTGGCAGTGAACCGGAGAAATAGGACAGCATTGTTTTTATGCAAAGATTGTCAAACAACTTAATGCTTTTTGCGTAGTTGCAGCTCAATTGCTCGAGAATCTGAACCAACAAACTGCAGCCAACGCACGCAGAAATCCTTCTCGAAGCTGGTGCGCAAAAAAGAAGCGATGCATGTAGCGAAACACATGAGAGTGGAGCTGACTTGGTATATCGTCCTGCAATGATACCACTTGTCTATACATTGAGTCCCCACTATGAAGCAAACGGGTCGTTTGCGTGCTTCCCTCGTCACAGAGACTCTTCTGGCACATTCATGTTTGCTGGGATGGACATGGTGGCTCTCCAGATGCTTTTTGCCAGCATTTGCAATCAACATTGGCCATGCATCAACCTGATTGCACTCATGTGTTCATGTGCGTGCGTGCAAGCCTTTCATAAGGAAAGAACATCCTCCACAACTGCAACTCGGCGCATCACAGCCTAGCAGCAAACAGCAAGAAAAGCACAAAAAGTACCAGGTTTCTTATCAGCCTGTTTCCTCCAAAAGAGACATTCCGTTTCGTTTGACCCCCCTCATCCTCCGAAAAAAAGATATTCCGTTTCGTAGGGCGGTCTTCTTTGACTTCCTTCGCAGGACTGGCTGACATCACCATAGCCCGCAGCAGCGAGGGCGACTGCCCCTCAGAGGTGGTGGTCATCGGATGCCCCGGGGAGGACCGGGCCTGGGGTTGCCATTTGGGTATGGGTCACAACCAATGGTAATTATCCCATTTTGGGGTGGGTGAATTCACCACCCATCTTAGAACCTATTTTAGATTGGGATGTTCAGAACCTATTTTAGATTGGGATGTTCATTGGGGGTACGATTTGGATTTTGACCCATGGCCATTTCACTTGCGGGGTTTTCGATAGGGAATGACTCGAAATTTCGAGTCCTTTCGGGTGTCGGGCATTGAGCCGTTGTTTTTTCTTCCCCAACAGCTGAAAGCTTTGGGGTCTCAGCCCAGATAGGCTCCGGGGTGGTCCGGGGTGGCCCTGAGGTAAGGTTCCACGAGGGTTCCACGAGGGTTCCACCGAGGGCTGCGGGGTGGTGCGAGCACTAAAAAGAGCACCGCATGCTGTTGGGGATGTCACCTGAGCTTATTTGGATAGGTTGGACGGTTTTTCTTGGTCATTCCAACTCATTCCCTGCCTGGGTAGATGAGTCAGGGATAGTCCCCCTGCCATAAATGGGTGCGGGTATTCGCATGTTGAGTTCGTTGCATGTTTCTGGGTAGACAATTTTCATACCAGGTTTTGATAATATATCATTTCCTGCGATGTTGCCGTTGTTCTGTGTTGCCATTTGTTCCTTTTTGCGTTTTGATTGATACCGAAGAACATCAACTTGAAAGTGAAAGATATTGTGGACGGACATGACAACTTTGTTTTTGTGTTGTTTTGAATACTTGTTTTGGTGGATTCTCCTCACGGAAATTTGCGGGATCAGGCAACTCTTAGTTGGTGATTTGAATTGGTCGTTTGGATTTGGATCTGAACCTCTAACTCTTATGGAATTGAAACTTGAAACTACCCCTTTCACACCACCAAGCCGCCGATTCAGCTCCAGACAACCAGTGAGAGGGAAGCTGAATGTATAAATCAACCGCGTCATCTTTACAAAGCAAATGGTGAAGGTACCCCTCAACGTCCAAACGACCAAATCAACCCGCCAACTATAAAGAGAAGTTGAACCACCAAACCACCAACGCGGCTCCAAACCACCAATCAGAGTGAAGAGGGAGATGGAACACCAACCGACAGAGTAGAACAACGACTCACACAATGGAACACCGACTCGGAGAATAGAATAGAACACCCCAGGAGAATAGAATAGAACACTGACTCAGGCAGTAGAATAGAACCCTTTTGGTCTGGCCATGAATGCCTTTGCAAAGGGAATCCGCTTTTCGGGCCCCAAAGAAAGGGAGTCCGCGTTTCGGGCCAGCACCTTGAAGTCCGCATCCCCTTTTGGAGCTGGTTGAAGGCATAAGGAAGCCATAAGGAAACCATAGGTCATAGAGCAGCAAGAACCATAAGGGACTCCCTTTTCTTCTTTTCTTCTGGCAAAACATAAGACGCTCTTCGGGTGCCAATGTCCGGCCAGAATCTGACTGAGGGTGAGTCTGCGGGAGCAATTTTGTGACTCAAAATCGGTGTGCTTTTTGCGACTTCGAGTCGCGGTTCCACATTGACAACTGCCGTGGTTCGACCGCGTGACCTCGTGATATTTTTTGTGGCCTAGCAGGTTGACATTCGGCAAGCTGACATTCATTCATTGTCAAGTTTTTTTAGGAACCGGTGAACGCATCAACTGGACATTCATTGACCATTGTCAAGTTCCCGGAACCGGTGAGCGCATCAATGCTCTGGTGATTGACGGAGCCACAAGACTTCTAACACGACTGCTCGCAGGACCCGAAGAAGGCCTGCCTCAAGGCCCGGATCGGGAGCTGGGGAGCTGGGGAGCTGGAGAGCTGGAGAGCTGGGAGTGTTTTGGACCTCGGTCAAGTGCCTCTCGGTCTGCGTCTTGAAGTGCTGTAAGTGCTGACACCCCCATTACTGCGAAAAGAACTGGGCGGGATGTTTTTCCTTGGCAGGGTCTGTCTTTTTCGATGGCTGCGAAAAGTGGGCGTGATTTTCGTTTCTCCTTGGCAGGGTCTGTCTTTCTTCGAGGATGCTTGAGGTTGATGAAAAGGGAAACCAAAAGGAAAACCACCATTTTGGAGCGTCCCTCAAAAAAGGCACGCCGACCTCTGCCTGTAGACTCTCTTGCGAAGGTTCCGCCAGCCAGTTAAGGCGCCGATGTCCAGGCTCTAACCATCGACAAAGACTCATGCGAAGAGTTTGCAGATGCGAAGGATGATGAAGATCCGGAGACTCGCCCGCACGCTGTGATAGTACAAAAGAGGGACGCATCAGAGGTTATTTTGTTTGTGTGCCAGGGTCAAATGGCCTGATTTCTCGAGGGGGATGATACATCAACCCAAGGTGTTTGAGAGGACCAATTGGGTGTTGCTCGCCAAGGGGCTCTGTTTGCCGTGGGGCCACGCCAGTTACATGGATGCTTTGTTCAGAAGGCATGGATTTGGCGAGAGGGGTCCTGGCAAAGTGGCGGGCACAAGGATTGCGGGCTGGTGTGCTGTGCTTGACACACCTCTGGGATTCTGAGACACATCTCTGGATGCCTTTCTCGATGGGCGGACTGGACAGAGCTTCTGTGGAGTCTGCTGCTCCCTTTGTTGCGGCAGCGCAGTTGAGATTTTTGTGCTCGGGTTGCCGGGCCAAGTCTGAGTTGGTTCTTCGATAGAGGCTTTGTGGACCAGCATGGACCTGCCCAATTGATGCTGAGACCGTTCTGAGTTTCATGAGCAACCAACTCCCATCACTAAGGAGCTCACAGGTGTCTGGACTTTGGCGACCTTGGAGCAGGTAGATTGGAAGGACTACCTGGAGTTTGGATTCAATGGCGACAAGTCCGATTTCAACGGCGTGCCTGGGCAAGGAAAAGCATGCCCACCGGGTTGGGCTCTTTGCCAGTCGACGGCCTCGCTGCGATGGTTGGGACCCCACCGGCTGGAGCCAGCCAAGACATTTCAGACATCTGACTCATGTATTCGTTCTCCCACGTTTTGAAAGTCATCGAACGGCCCTCTGGTAGTTTGGTTTGGCGTCTCCAGAATATGAGCTTCTGGTCCGGTTGCCCCCCCTCCCGGTACAAACTGATTCTTGACTTCCGACATCTTCTTTGGGTGCCGAGGACCTCAACGCCATGATGGATGATCTCGGCGTTGAAAAGGAGGAAATGGATCAGTTGCTGAAGATGACGAAGATCATGAGTGCAGCTTGACATACAAACCGGGATGTCACTTGACATATTTTGCGTTTCTTACCGCCATCGAAAGGTCGTAAAGGAGTATGCGTGCGAATATTCAATCACTCGAGCAAGCGAGTAGACAGGCGAGTGGACGTGTGAGTGGGCGGGCGGAGTGGGAGAAAAGCTGCGCACATCGCACAGTCCATACAGTTGCCATTTTGTCGATGTCTGTACGAGGCTCGTCCCCTGCACTCGCACGTTCTTGCAGTGGTTGCTCGACTCCTTTGGCTAGGATGCTTGACCTGGTTGACCCTTGATGAAACCAGAAAGAAAGGCACCTCCGAAAATGTAGGCTTCACGAGATAGATCGGATCTGAAACCTCCAAATAGCCAGCGGCTCCAACATCGTGGGCGAATGATACCATCGCCATTTGATTGGGATGTTGTGGGTCCCAGGCCGCTTGGCCTTTTTTGGGCAAGGATGTCAAGTTAGACTTGGCGAGTGTTCGTTCGAAGGTAACTCCTTGCGGAGCTCGGGCATGTTGAAATCAGCCATGGACAAATGGATTTGTTTCGATCCAAGCCAATCCAGCAGGTGGAAGCAACGGAGGCTAGAACAGCAACCGGCCTACCAGCTGCTTGCCTAACTCAACTGCCAAGGAGAAGCTGGAGAGAGGTTTCATCTTCAACTTCAACGACTCGGCCGTGGTGGCCCCTATGGTCTACGGAGGCTATGCCAGTGACGGGAGCATTGTGGGTGTCATCTCGTCCCGTGTATGGACGTGAAGCCGTTGGTTGGCACGCCGTTGAGGGGACTGAAGTACTTTGGGGGTTCCTTCCGGAAACCAGCGCCACGGTCAACGGCTGCCAAAGCGCAGAAAGGGACGAGGGGCAGGCCCGGTAGGCCACAGGAATCTCCTTGGCACCCAAGGTATGCGGATGAAGCCCGCACCGACCGAATTGTTGCCTCAGTGGCTGCAAATCGATCGACTCGATTCGATTTAGTGCTTATGGCTGTGCAATGGCAGGATGCGCACTGCTTTTGCTGGCGCACGCGGGAAAAGAAGCAAACCAACCCGTTGCCAGCATTGCCCGCCAAACCCCAGGGAGTTGGGCTGAGAGTTCATGTTCACTTGTGGTTCGTACCCAAGGCCGGGAAGGTCCAGGACTGGAGCTCGGCTTTTGGGCAACCCCCCGAAAACAGATCCGGTCTCCGGTCTGCGGTCTCCGGGCCTTCTCTGGCAAGCTGGCGAGCCGGAGGTTGTATTGGAACTGGCCTCGAAGTGGGAGCAAGCACCCTTTAGCAGGGGTCAAACCTTGATTTTGGAACAGTATAGAACCTTGCTAGGTGTTTTCGTTCGGTTTTGGGATGGGCAACCCTTGAGACTCTGAAGGAAATGAGTATCGGCAGAAGTATTGGCAAAAGCATTTCCAATCAATTTTGAGTTTTCATTCAGTTTATATATATATATATATATATATGTATATTCTTTGGGGGGGGGGGTTGGCGGGTGCCCACACTTTGTTCCTGTGGGGAGGGGGGTCCCTCAAGTATTGGCTGGCAATCGCGGGGGGGGGGGGGGGGAGGTGCTAATCAACCTCAAGTGTATTTACTCGGATTGTTAAATGGCTGTGGTTGTCAAAACCGTTTTAGATCCCATTTTGATTGGTAGGGCACCCATTTTAGTACCTATTTTAGTGGGGATTGGGATGTTCATTGGGGGTACCGATTTTGCCCCATGGCCAAATTGGAGAATGTGGTATAATCTGATTGCAAAAGGCTATCGATATATGCCGCGATCAGTCAGGAACAGTGCCCTTTTCCTTTGGCACGATGCCTGGTTCAGCCTAACCTATGTGAACCAGGGGTAAAAGGCGCTCTTCGCAACGGGCACTCCTACGATTCGTCGATGAACAAGGGCAGCCCACCAATCTGCAGCCATCAGATCGTTTCGGGCCGCAGTTGCAGGGCCTTGCTTGGTGCTGTTTTTCGAACCAAGCAGCCAGGGCAAGGGGAAGTTCGAGGAGGAGGCGGGGGTTGTGGGAGAAGGAAACCGCTGGACAAACGTTGTCCTTTTCGTGGAAAAACAACGCTGAACCTCACGTTTTTGGTTTGTTGGTTGGTTGGTTGGTTGGTTGGTTGGTGGGTGGGTGGGTGGGTGGGTGGGTGGGTGGGTCGGGGGAATTCTTCGTAAGATGACCCCAGGCCTCTCAACTTTTGCATGAAATCTGAAATCATGAGATGCGGGCTGTGTGCTGGGCATGTTGGCTGCCTGCATCAGAAGCAACAGCCTCATTCAGCGCGCACCGGCCCGAAGGGTGGAAAGGTTCAAGCAGGTGGGACATTCGGCTTCCTATAGTTCTCGGGGCGCTTGCTTGGTCTAGCATAGTATGTATCCGGGTTGAATTTGAAGCACACTTGGCAACCAATCATTTTATTCTTCAAGCAGCACTTTTGCGGTATGCATTGGCAACTGGTAGTTGCTTGCGAGGAAGAGCTGAGAACACCAGCTGCAATCGATGAGAGGATTCAGAGCCTCAATTTTGTGGCTGTTCAAAGGACACCATTCATTCCGGCAACCGAAAAAAGCTTCGACATATACACACGCCACATGTCAGGGCCCAACCGGACTGCGCATAGGGCCGCTCGGACGGCCTGATCCTCAGCAACGTGCCGCAGGAGGCCATTCGGCCACTGTCGCCGATCGTACCCCCTAACCGCCCGAACTCATTCAAGCCACCAATTAGAGGGAGCTGATATGGCGAATTGCCTTAAGGAAGCACGGCCCTTGGGCACTTTGATCGACTCGACGGTGTCTGGAGCACGAGCAAAAGCTTTCTTCTGCCAGAAAGTGAGAAGTGGCTATGTCCAAAGCCCCAACTCCAGGACATCCTCGTTCTGAGCCAAAGCCGTCGAGGTCCGCTTTTGATTGACGCCTTCTTCTCTAGTAAACAAAAACCGGACACATTCCCGGAGCGGTCCCTGCTCCAAGCTCGCCGATAGGTGTTTCTCTTGTCGTTCCTTCAGCCGGGCTTCTTGGAACTCTGCCCCAGCCGAAATGTGTCCAAGCCATGGTTTCATGTTGGGCCGTTGGGCCCCTTTCGCAATTTGGGCGAACCACCAGGGTTTCTGCATGTTGATACACCCCGCCGGCCTCTTGTCTTGCGCGCGAGCATTTAGCCTTGCAGTACAACACGCTGGATGCGCTGAACCGCCACTTCCGGCAGTTTGGCGAGGTCGCCAGGGAAGCTGCTTGTGTTTGGGGAGGCTGCGGACGCTTTTGCAAATTTCGGGGGGGTTCTTGGGCAGTCAGAGCCACGAGCAGTCAGTTTTGGGACGTTTGATTGAGATGATGGGGAGGCCTTTTTCGCATTTTGAGGCTCTTCTGCCTCTCTTTGGGTCTTGGATGGCAGCCCTCTGTGTCTCTAAGAGGGTCTCAGCAAAACTCTTTTGAAGATGAACTGGTCGCCTCGGTAGGTGCTGAAGATCACCTCGCAGCTGAGCGAGGACCGCGGGTGGCGGCTGAGCTCGGCCGGGGTTTGTTGAGGGTAGCCCTTTTCGGGGTCTGGTTTGAGGGGAAGCCAAAAGGACTTGATGCATTTTGGGGGGGGGGTTGTCGAGTTTGAGACAAACCTAGTTGGTTTGCAACCCAAAGTTTGAACGCGCGTTTGCTTGCACGGTCCAAAAGCAGGTCCCCAATTCCGGCAAACATGGATTCTCAGTCTAGAGGCAGGTGTGGATCCTGCCGGTCGATGTTTTGCAAACTCTGGACGGGCACATTCTGCCGGAGGGGCATATATTCACGAAAGATCGCAATTATTTTTCTTTTTCTCATTGGACATGCCTGCTGCTGTTGAGTTACAGTTGGACATTCGGCTGCCTAGCGAAGAGGACCACCTCTTTTCTTCTTATTTGAGGATCGATATGATTCTTGTGGTCCACTGATATGGATGGCCATACTTTCGGACGAAGAGGAAGGCTTGAGGACTCTAACTTGGGATCAGAGAAGTGGAGCATATGTGCCCCGGTATTTGCTAGAGTGGGCTTGGTCCCAGCGCTCACTCGACTAGACACAGGTGCAGCCCCGCTAACAAGATTGGAGTGGGCCATGCCGGGGGTCTCTGTGAACATGTGCTCATTCGTTCCTGTTTCATACCAAACACTTTCGCCAAAAAGAGGCAAATACCCTTCCCCTCCAACAAAAAAACACACACATTCAGGGTAGCATACACTTCCTTTTCTTGAGTCCCGCGCGCGTGTGTGTGTGTGTGTGTTGTATGTGTGTGTGTGTTGTGTGTTGTGTGTTGTGTGTTGTGTGGTGTGTGGTGTGTGGTGTGTGTTGTGTGTTGTGTGTTGTGTGGTGTGTGGTGTGTGGTGTGTGGTGTGTGTTGTGTGTTGTGTGTTATGTGTTGTGTGGTGTGTGGTGTGTGTTGTGTGTTGTGTGTTGTGTGTTGTGTGTTGTGTGGTGTGTGTTGTGTGGTGTGTGGTGTGTGTTGTGTGGTGTGTGGTGTGTGTTGTGTGTTGTGTGTTGTGTGTTGTGTGGTGTGTGGTTTGTGGTGTGTGGTGTGTGGTGTGTGTGGTGTGTGTTGTGTGTTGTGTGTTGTGTAATGTGTGGTGTGTGGTGTGTGGTGTGTGTTGTGTGTTGTGTGTTGTGTGTTGTGTGGTGTGTGGTGTGTGGTGTGTGGTGTGTGTTGTGTGTTGTGTGTTGTGTGGTGTGTGGTGTGTGGTGTGTGGTGTGTGTTGTGTGGTGTGTGTTGTGTGTTGTGTGTTGTGTGGTGTGTGGTGTGTGGTGTGTGGTGTGTGTTGTGTGTTGTGTGTTGTGTGGTGTTTGTTGTGTGTTGTGTGTTGTGTGGTGTGTGGTGTGTGTGTGTGTGTGTGAAAGTTCAATGTGTGTTGGGGCGGGACAGGGGTGGCACGTTCGCCAGGGCAAGGCGTATGTGCAGTTCGCCAGCAAGGCCTCCACTGAGGCTCGGGGTCTCAGTCTTTTTCCCCACAGGGGGGCAGTTTGGGGCGGATTTCAGGGAAACATCCCGAGGGGTTCCAGGGGGTTCCAGAAAATTCCAGGAGGTTGGGTTCAAGGCAGTTCCAGGGGGTTCACGGGGTTCCAGGGGGTTGCAGGGCGTTCCAGGGGGTTCCAGAAGGTTCTAGGGGGGTCCAGGAGAATCCATGCTGTTGATACCACCTGGGCTTATTCTTTGCTTTCTCCCCAACGGCTGAAAGCTATGGGTGGGTTTGCCTTACAAATCCACCAGCCAAAAAGTGAAGTTTTTTGTTTTGTTTTGGAGGGCATTTCCAATTCAACCAGGGTGCTGTTTTTTGCCATGACCCCTAGGGTTTGTGCAGAGTGGACCGTGCGATGTGGGGGGGCGGGGGGAGGGAATGGGCGGAAACGGAGGCAGTTAAAGGATGATTGTAGGGGCGAGGGAAGAAATGGATGATTGGCAAGACGCTGGGGTCACAGGATGAATCAGGCTCCATGTGCTGACATTCGGAAGAAATCAGCTCGGCTCAGCAATGACGGAGCAGGTCTGTTCTTGCTCGCGGCGTGCTATTCGATGAATAGAGCGGAGGCCACTGGAACATCCACCCCAGACTGGCCCAAACTCGACCCTGCAGGCCGCAGCCACCGTACCGGTGCTGGACCGCCCGGAGATTGCCATTGCAGGGGGCCCAGGGTGGTTCTAACATCAGGTCCGGGGAGAAGGGGGGGTCTGGGGTGGTGGTTTGTGCCACTCGACATCCAATACCAAGTAAAGAGATTCGCCCGGCCCTGGACCATCTTCCCTGACTCCCTCGATGGTTTTTGTGCGAAGATCAGCCGGCCTTTCTGCGATGGTGGTGATTACATCAAACCGAGCCAGGTCCTGAACTTGAAAGCGTGAAGGTTAAAGGAGAGGTAAGGTCATCATTCCCCAGGGAGTCAATGATTGCCACAGGATACGATTGGGAAATGCTGCGGGCCTGGGAAAACTACACTGGACTTAGGCTACAGCAATTTGGCAACCAGAGTTTGGCAAATCGTTTGAAGTGAGGATAAATCCAGAACATCTCCGAAAGGATGCCCTTGCGGTTTGGTTGCCTTGTGTGGGCTGACCAGCTTATGGGCCAACTGCCGATGGAGAGGTTGCAGAGAGAGAGAGAGAGAGCTGCTTTAGATATCCCTTGTCCTTCTTGAGGGTAGCTTAAGATGGATATCCGAGAGGGGAGTGCTGTCCAGCTCAGCTTCGTCTCTCGTAGCCTTGGCTCCGGTTTGGGGTAAGCTGAAGATCAGTTCGCATTCAGAGAGACCATGGGCCTCTCGGGATCGCATTTGCACTTCAACCGCTTCAAGGAGCGCAAAGATTGTCGTGGCTTCGGTGCCTGCAGTCAGATCTTTTGGGAACCACTGTAAAAGCAGAGGTGCCGTGCGATCTTGAAAGCACAGAGCGGCAATGCCTCAATGAAGAATCATATTGTGGGGAGACATGCAATTCCATCTCTCCTTTTTGTCCCAACATGGCCTTCGTGGTACTTTCTCGACTTGGATTTCGGGGCTTAAAGATGCTTTGCGGCTTTCAGTATGCGCTCGCCACGAAATGGGATACGGGCTCTGTGCCCTGGTGCTGGGGTCAGTTGCCAGGATGTGAGCCCCTGGACCACTGAGGTCATTGCGTCTTGGCCAGCAAATTCCTTTGCATATCACCCTCACACGGGAAGGGTCTAAGGAAGGGAGAAGCTGAGTAGGGCCTTTGTGCAGCCCCTTCGTTGTAAAGCTCTCTGTTGAAACCTTGAATCTGGTGCGGTATGCAAAG